AGAGAGAGAGAGAGAGAGAGAGAGAGAGAGAGAGAGATATGCAGGACGCGCGGAAGGGGAGAGAGACGGAGACGGGAGCCACTGTTCGGACGCCGGTGTGGCTTTTATAAGTCAGGGTCAGCTTATAGCTCCCCCCGGCCGCACCCGGTAGAAGGCCACGCCGCGACGGCTAGAGGCGCCGCGCGAGAAATATATGGGATGAGTTTCCTTCACCGCGACCAAAAATTTTGTCGACATGTCACTCTTTAGTTTATATTGGGGTGCGGGAACGCACATTCTCAAGGCAGGGCCATGGTTAATCTCCTTGCGCTGAGTTTGGCCTGCAAAAGCCGGCTCCAAATCATTAGCCAGCCCGGATAAGAGTCTCGGCGGTGATAACTAATGGACGGCCCACGACGCTGCGCGGAGCCCCGCCTTTGGGTCCTCTCGGGCTGGTCGGTGGGCCGCGCTGGCCTTGGGTCCGGGCTCCTCACGGTCGACTCTGGCTGGAGTGTCAGCTTTCGCCCCGAGCCGTGTACGCGCCGCCTCGCCGCGTCCGCGGTCCTCCGCGGCCCGGCGCGCCGGCACACAGCCAGGAGCAGTACAGGCTGCGGACCCGTGCGGTCCCGTGCGGACCCGTGCGGTCCCGTGCGGACCCGTGCGGTCCAGTGCGGACCCGTGCGGACCCCTCCCCGCTGGGCCGCGACGCCTCTCTCGCCGGTCACCATCATCGGCGAGCTCCAAAATGTTCCACTCGCGCTGACTCACATCACGGGCTGTTGTTTGGCGCTCTCGGTGCCCGCCCCGCGCGGTGCCCCCGCGGCCCCCAGGACAGCTCGGCTCCTGTTGTGAGCCCCCGTGCCCGGGAGGGCCCCGCGAGGGACCCGAGCGCCGCCCCCGCGGGGCCCCCCAGCCCCTCGGCCCCCCGCTTGGACCCACAGCATGACCGAAGTGCGCAATAGAGAGCTCTGGCGTGGCGTGGGGCGCCCCGCGCTGTGCGAGCGGCAAGCGCCGTTCAACATGAAAAAATAAAAATTAAAAACCACACTAAAAATCCTGTATGATTTTTGGGCTACCTATATTAACAACTACATCCTTTCCATTGTGTTCCAGGACGCCGCGCCGGACATGGCGCTTTACTGACATCGACTGTTCGACCGCTTCCTTTCATCACAAGTCTCGTAAGTACGCCTTCATGTCTACGTTATCGTGTGTGTGTGTGTGTGTGAGCGTCGTGAGGGCGTAGTCGAGGGCTTCGGGCGCAAAGGAGACGAAAGGGACGTCCACACGACCTTTGTTTCACTGATGCCCCGCCCGGGCCAGCCCGCCGCGCGGCCGCCGCCAGGGCGGGCGGAACGTCCTGTGATGGCATCTCTATGACGTGGAAGTCCAACATCGATCGCAGAGGCCTGCCCCGGCGTGGCAGGGCGAGACGGCCAGAGCACGAAGGAGGGCATTAGTTTCTGGCGTTTCATGTCGCCCAGGCTGACCTATGGGATTTACCAGACCAGGATTTTAGAAGAAAAACAAGAATAAGCCCCCGCCCCCCCTCCAAAAAAAACAAACAACAACAACAACAAAACAACAATAAACGAGAGGTCACCTACTCCTAAAGTTCGTGTACACACGAATATTTTGGGTGGCGAGACGCTGGTGTAGTGTCGTGTGAGTGTAGTGTAGTAGCGAGAATGCGGGAGCATAGGTGAGTAGGTTTGAGTTTCGGCGAATGTTGGTGAGTACTTCGTGATTGAGATACGGGTGAGTGAGGCCGAGTAGGCGTGAGGAGTAGGCGAGTAGGTGCGGGTAATTTCGCAGCGCGGAGGGTTCCTTACGCCAAGCGTTAGATGCTTGGTTAAATCTGTCGACGAGAATGGGAACGAGCTCGATAGCGATGACGAGTAAACGCGAGTATTGGTGACTAAGCGTGAGAATTGTAGAGAAGGCACGAGTATTTATGCGAGTGCACACACGAGTATCTATCTAAGTGGGGGACCCCTGGCCCCAACCAACATAACAGAAACAAAAGGAATGGTAAAACACCGTTTTTACAGGTTATCATTTTTGTTTCGTTTTTGTCTTCGGAGGTTAATCAGTTAAACGGGCATTATGGAAGAGTACCAGTGGGGATGAGTTGTCGTTCCCTGGCACCCCGGGCTCCGCCAGGCTAACTCGGGCTGCGGCCGCGCCGCCCGCAACACGCGGAAGCAGCGCGCCCAACCGGTCTCGAGCAGATAGCAGGCCAGGAGGAGGAGCGCGTGCTGAGGCTGGAGAGAGGCCCAGAGTCGAGCTGGCTAAAGCGAGGCGCGCGCGCGCGCGCGCGCGCGCGCGAGAGAGAGAGAGAGAGAGAGAGAGAGAGAGAGAGAGAGAGAGAGAGAGAGAGGGGCTGCTTGGGTGAGAATAGGCTGGAGTGTTGCTTGGAGCAGTGAGGATCGAGTAAGACTGGAGTGAATCTAAGACATGTGGTTCTAGGGTGAGGCTAGAGCACTGAGGCTCGAGTGTGGCTAGAGAGAGGTTGGAGTATGAGACAACAGAGACACTGAGTGAGGTTGGAGTGAGGCCTGTAGTGAGGCTAGGCTAGATAGAGGCTGAAGTGAGGATTGGGGGGGGGGGGGCGGCAAGGGCAGTGGCAGGGATGATAAAGACGCCAGTGGTGAATCACGGGGCTTGCTTTGTTGATGTGACCGCATCACATAGTGACGTCACTCGCCCTCGAAACACTAACCGGATCGCCCCACCCCCCTCTCACCACCCTCTCCTATCACCCCCTGTGTCCAACCTCCTCTTAGCGCTGTAACTCGATTTGTGTGACATGGTGCCACGGCCGGGGCAGTTCCGCCGCCACGCGCCTCGCCCCTGGGAGAGAGAAAGGGAGAGAAAGTGGGATGGAGCGATGGAAGAGGGTTGGGAAAAAGTAACCCAACTGTTGACCCATTCTGCAAAGAGACGTTTAAACAAATCAGAAATATTCTGGAACGGTGAATTACCCAGCGCTAGTCCGAAGTTCTTTTTTATTACTCTTTGAAAATGAAACTATTCCAACTAACCTAATACTGAAACTAATAGTATTTTTGGTAATAGTTTTGCTGATCCGGCCTCGGGTCCCACTCTTTAAGAAAGTTGAAGACAAAAGAAAACATAATTTTGGAAATATACACAAAGAATTCAAGTTAAATATTTGATGAAACTTTTCCAAAACGTTTAGCTAAAAGTCGATTTCTTACTCCACAATTTTGACCATCCCTTCCTCTACGGCCACTACAATGGTCCAGGTCCAGCCAGCTTTGAAAGAAAGAGACTACTAGCGTTGGCTGAGCCCGGAGCTGCCTTCCTCCCGCTTATCCCAGTCAAGTTCACGGCCACGCTCAGCTCGTTGCGGGGTGGCGAAGCATGGCGGAGCGTTGCGTGGCTGAGCGTGGCGAGCAGCTCGTGGCGCTCGCTCCCCGACGCAATAAATAATGCACTGGCCAGCGCGGGCAGAAGGTGGCGATGGCCCCGGGCCCCGGGGGAAGGGGGGGGGGAGAGAGAGGGGGATAGTGCGAGGGGGGGGGGGGCGTGTTGAGGATGACGAGAGGGCCCGATAGAAGGTGCACTGTGGGCAACTGTGGCCGAGAGTGGGAGGGGGTGTATCGCATAGACCGGGTCATCTTAATACGCGGTTTGATCTGATGACCGCGATACAATTATTGAAGAGTATCTACCGTAAAACAGGCTAATATGCTCTGATGCGGGGTAAAGTGTAAAGTGGACCACTATCCTATTCCTATGTTCCGCTTCTGCTTGACTTGCGCAACCACTGAGCTCTGCGTCGCCCAGCATTGGCAGGAACACAACCAAGTGGTAGTACGAGACATAGAAAATAGAGGGTGGTCCACACTACCCCGCATGGTCTATATTAGCCTGTTTTTCGGTACCCAATCCGCTTACCTGTACCTGTGAGAGTGCGCGACCCTCCTGGACGGGGCCTCCGCAATTGCATGACCGACCGTCCCACTCCCCCAAGTCCACGGACCTTTGCGTGCTCCACCCTTCACCTCTAAGATTTCTTATTTCCCCCCTACTTTGCTAACGAGTTTCGCGGAAATATTACTCCCCGAAGGAAATTGAAAGCAACACGATAGCTGCACATGCCTCTTTCTCTCTTTCCAGCACAGTGAGGGTATGAGAACACTGGTATTCAAATACTGTGACGTCACTTACGGCTGTGACCGACTCGAGCCACAGCGGTTGAAAT